CTGCTTGAATTTTCAAAGGAAATCCATTATAAACTGGCTATGTACACATTTCAAAGCTGGGTTAGTCCTGTCTGCTCAATTTCTCTTCCAATCAAGGCTGGTTTTCTCTCCTCTGATACACTCCTGAGAAAATGTAAGAAAGACTCATAAGTCAGAGTTGCCACTTCTTTTGTGTTGCAATCCAATTGTAATATTACAGATGTAATTCCCAGATACAAAAATATTTAGAACTTAATTGCAGAGTTAACTGAGCTAAATTGCACCAGGTCTACAATTTACAGAAACCTTTACTGCACAGAGTTGACCTTTCCACAGGAGCCCAAAGAGTTTAGGTGTCTCATGACCAACAATTCTCAGAGAATGAGTAATTACTTCAGGCTGTTTTTAAAATCCTATCATTAATACCTACAGTAAAGAAAACAATATAGAAGTAGAAACTAAAGCCCATTATGATGAACTTCATAAAGATATTGAGTTCTTCCCCCTCTCAAATTCCTGATCTTTGAGTATCTGATTTTATAACCTCAATGTTTCACTAATTCTGTACGTTTCTATTTCTACATTCTTTTCACTAGGGGAAAACGTGGGAAGAAATCAGACCCGTTTATCCAGAGGACTCTACAAACTTCAGTGCAAAAGCAAGATTCCCAAAAGACTTTTTCATCATCCTTATAACAGTGCAGCCTAACAGAGCTTGAACATTTTAATGGCTAGTGATGAAACACCACAAAACAATCCAAACCATAACAAGGCGAACTGACTGTAAGATGGACTGCAGTTTCAGTGGATTACCCCTTTGGCCCCAACCCAAAGTTTAAAATGCTTCAATCCTAAATTATAGAGAGATTGAATTATTTCAGTAGTCACTGAAGGGCTGAATCCACAATTCTGGAGAGTGATGTCCCCTATTAAGAGGTAAAGGGGGAGAAGCACGAGCAGGGACACCACAGCTGAACGTGCCTTCCCATGCCTCAGTTCATCCAGGCCGCCAGCAGCACTCACAGCTTGGTTCCTTGGGCAGAACTGCCTGGAGCATCCATTGAATCCAGACAGGTAAGGTGACCAAGGGGAAAAGATCCAGACACATACACATGAAATATTTATCTGTCCCACACAAAGTTTATACACGCAAAGTCCTCTGCGCAGAAGCATGCGGGAGGACAAAACAGCCCAACAGCTACAAGACGCCTCTCCTAGTCCTGCCCAGGGGCTCTGCACCAGCTAAAGCCAGACCACAGCCAACGACCCAAGGCAGCCTCCAAGTGCCAAGAATTTTTCTCAAAAAACATCACTTTGGTGGTCACCCAGCTTAACAGATTTGATGGTAGATTTTAGACTTGCTTGTCAGATACATGGGATCTTTTATAATTATACAAATTAAATAAACATAATATATGAATTGCTCTTTGCATAACAGCCTTCCTGAGGACAGCAAAAAAACAACCAGTTATGGACATGCGAAAATAAAGATGCATGAAAACAGAGGTCAAATTCCAAAATCATCACTATGAGTTAAACCTTTACTCTCTCTTTTCCCCAGTACACTCCTCCTAACTATCTTCATCATAGTCTCTTCCTCTCACTGTTTATCATCTCTTGACAGTAGAGAGTCTTCAGGGTGGGGGCTGTTGCAAACAATTCTAGGCATGTTTGTACAGTGATTTGTAAAATGAGTTCACAGTCTCAGGTGGGACATTTATTTGCATTACTGAAGTACCTCAGTAAGAGAAATAAGAATGGAAACTACTAGAAATCAAAACTATGCTGAACTGGGTGGAGAACACACATAAAGATGCTTTCTGGGCATTTAAACAGGATATATGCATGTACTTTAAGACAAAATAAGTTGTCTTCAGACAACTAAAGAGCCTTTAATCAAAGTGTGAGCTGTGTATAATCAGTTTTACAGCCACCTTTGACTGACTTATTCACATTATTTGAGCTACTCACAAGTTCTCGTTGATTACAGAAAGAAAACTTCCCCAGATACACATCAACTAATACTTAAGAACCCCAAAAGAGTTGTCTGGCAACCCACCAACACAGAGCAACAAAACATGCACTGTTAGGGGAATGATATTTAAAACAGCCATTCTGGGCAAAGCATCCTTGCAAAGGCTACTATTTTGTTTATTCAATTTTTTTCTGTTAAAAATGTATCTTTATAAAAGTAAGTAAAATAAATCTTACATGAAACATTATTGGCTGGAAGTGACAAAGTATATGCATACAATTATTGGTTTCTCCTATAAATTTGTGGCTGTCTGGCAATTCACATGCTTAGGAAGCAAGAGATTCTCATCACACACTGTCACCTGGCAAGTTAGCTCCTCTTTAAAGTTACTAGAATCCACACAAACTTGGTGTCCTTTCATATTTTTTTCTTCAAAGATACGTATGTCCAAAACATAGTTCCAGTTGACACTGGCACAGGTTGCCCAGAGAAGTTGTGGATGTGCCATCCCTGGAAGTGTTCAAGGCCAGGCTGGATGGGGCTTTGAGTAACCTGGTCTAGTGGGAGGTGTCCCTGCCCATGGCAGGGGGGTTGTAATTAGACAATCTTTAAGGTCCATTCCAATCCAAACCATTCTATGATAGAATATAAACCTGAGGGTACAGAAAGAATTACCCATTCAAAAGAAGGAATTCCTCAACTTGTTTTATATTCTTGCATATATGCACTGTAAATTTTTATTGCTCCTCATGTTCCACGTCAGAATTGGTATGGACTGAGACATAAAGCTCACAGTAGTAAATCGAACTGTACAGTCTGCTCCCCAGGATGGCTGCTCATTCCTCATCTGACTTCTTACCTGGCTGTGAAGTTACTGCACTTGAGCAACCACAGCTATTAGTACAATCACAGCAGGCCTGGCAGCTAGATTTCAACATCGCTATTAATTGAGCCACATAACATTCCTACAAAGCAAGTAGTATTATACTCCTTTTCAGATACAAAAGAAAAGCACACATAATGTAATCCATGCCTTGTGCCTTATTTACCTGGTGGGAGAGCCAAAATTAAAACCTAGGAGTTCTTCTGCTACTCCTCTGTTCTAATTACTATATGCCAGAATAACTCTTCTGGTACATCCCTTGAAGTGTTCAAGGCGAGGTTGGATGGGGCTTTGAGCAACCTGGTCTAGCGGAAGGTGTCCCTGCCCTTGGCAGGGGGGTTGGAACTAGATGATCTTCAAGGTCCCTTCCAACTCTAACCATTCTATGATTTTATCACTTGATTTTGAAAATGCAATAAATATGACGCTCCCAAAATAAGATCACCACTGACCCAGTCATGTCTCAGTTAGAATTTAGGGTTAGAAAACTAATGTTGCATGTTACAAGCATTTACAAAGACACAGCAGATGTGATTTAACAGTCTTGCCATAAAAGCTATTCTTATAACATTAAGAGGTTCTTGTGCTGTCTGCAAAAATTTATGGCTGCATGTTCATGTGAAGTACTAGAAGGGGACAGTGAATTCTTTCTTATGTTTGTACAATCTCTGTGTCAAATCAGCAGCCCCCAAGCAAGAGAGTTAGGTCTGAAAATACCAGTATCCAGCAAAACATAGGAATCTATTCTAGTTATGACTTTGCAGCCCATGCATTCTGTTTTTTTTGGGGGGTAAAAGCTATATTAAATTTCTTGTGTCAGTCCCAGCTTGGTTCCTTAGCTGTCAGACAAGGCACACTTTCCCTCCCTGGTGACTATATGCTTTAATGACTGTTGGGATGTGGGCAGCATGCATTTACACATTTTATGTTTATGCTGAAATTCTGAAATGTGCAGTATTCTTGATATCTGCCCATCGGGTTATTAAGTCTATGTCCACTAAAAGTAATGGAAGAAATTCCTGACATCTCTCTATCATGTAAATGTTGGTTCAGTTTCCATTATATACTGGCTCTTACCTGTCAAGGAGAAGTTCCAGCACTTCCTTAGTAGAAGTAAAGGCCCTGTATGTCGAGAGGAAGACACTGATGTAGGTAAAATCATTATCCCCAAAAGCTGTCAGAAGGTTCTCCACAAGTTTCTCCAAACTTCCAGCTTTTATTGTCCTAATCTTGCATGTTTCATACTGGCTGACAGTATGTTCTGGAGGTAACTGGTCCCCCTCAGCCTACAAAGTTGAAACAAAAACAAAGCACAAAAATCAGACAGAAGCCAGATCCCTGACACAGCTTTCACAGATTCAATTCCATCTTTTCACAGGAATAGTCCATCTTTAGTTACTATAAGATTTTTTTCAGTTTTGGCTCTCTGAACACCAAATGCTGTATCAAATAACAGAGGGTTTTAGTAAGTTTAAGGTATTTATCTGACATACTCCACATAATATTTTATAGCCTGACTTCTATCAAGTTATCTTATGCTCCTATAGTATATTGTTATCTAAAAGAAAATCCATTATCCCACAAAGAATATTACTAGAGGGAACAACAGTGGTAATTCAGTGTCCCGATTAACTTCTGAATAAACATGAAAACTGACCACAACTTAAGCATCAGCACTTGTGATTCTCCTGCTTTTGAAAATACCAACTTTGGGTTGCCACGCAGAACATAAGGAAATGAATACATTTGAATGTGAAACATTTCATGATGCTTTTGCAAGGAGGGTGTCAAAGTCATCTTGCAAACATGCCATTATAATTTTCTCTTACCGTTTCCATTTGGGACAGTATTTGTCAACAAATCTAGGGTTTGGTGTTGGGAGGGTGGTGTGGTTTTAAACAGCTTTTGTTTTTAAGGCTTACAGCCTGCTTTAAGTCAGAAATAACTAGATTCATTCCCTTAAATTCTGCCACTATTTACAGGACAGTTCAGAAAATTATTTTTGTGACCAGTTTAAATACTTATTTGTTAATAATTGTAGTAATAATTCATACCTGTTGTAAAAAGCTTTAAAAATGGGACTATAAACAAAAAACATTAACAAGAGCAATCTAACAGAAAATTTCTCTCCATCTTTTGAGTTGGCTATCTGCAAGAAGGAATATTCATACCACTGAACTCTACAGAGGCAGCATGGGGTAGCATATATTTCCCTTTCTGCTGCGGCCGTTTAACAGGGACCAAATGACTGACATACCGCATCCTCAGCTTGAGGAAAATGTGCTGTGACATACCTGCTGTTTTACCTGATTGCAATTACATGACATGCATAATCACTATAATCACATATCACCAGCACCAATAAAACTCCAGTAACAAAAAAGGCTTTTTCCTTGAGGGAAACAAATGGTTTGAGCCTGTTCAAGTGTCTGCAACCATAAGTGCAAAGAAAAACCCTGTCAAAAATCCCCAGACATCACTATGATTTATGTAAATAAAATATTAGAAGGTCATCTGAATAAATGAAATATCTTTTTGAAGTAAACTTTTATTCACATTTACTGCGTTTAGAAAATATTTTGTTTAAGGCTAGGATTAATAAGATCATGCAAAGGAAAAAGTCAGGCCATCATGAAATATTTCAAGACTGTAAAAAAAGAAAATCTTGAATCTTTTTAGGTTAGATTAAATATATCAGTAGAAAAATACTACAGGAAATAAACTTATACTTGGCCTGAGCACACACCAGTCTAGCTTAGTCTGTGCATCATCAATTCTGCAATCTCAGGATAAAAACTAAGGAGTTCAACCCATTTTCATTGCAGCAGATTTTCTCCTCAGATATGCACTCACAGCAAGCTTTCAACTGGGACCGCTGTGATGTTTCTCTTCTGAATCACAACCTTCCTCTCCTGGGTAACAGCTTCTGCCATATCACGATACCAGATAATAACAGTATATCATTAGGTCACATTTCCCAGCCTTACAGTAATATTTTGTAATTTAACAGCTCTTCTGGGTTTTGAATATGAATTAGAATTTAAGCAGATTGAAAGACTCCCCTAAGTAACAATACAATCCATATTTTGTGTTTCTCCACGATTCCTTGACAACATGTTTCATATTCATCCTGAGGAAACACCACCAGACACATAGCCATTTTGACCAGAAGTTTTGCTCCAGAAACTGCCTACTGAGGTACGAGTTAGAGACAACAAGGCCAACAATATTCCAATGTTAACACAACATCTTGGTACTAGACTGAGGACACGAAGACAGCACATTAATGACTTAGAGTCACTACCAACTCTGCCTTGGTAAACTGACAAAAAAAAGGAAAAAATTAATCTATTCATAAAATAATTAGGAATGGATAACCCACCCACTTCATATGTACATCACTACCTTCCATTGCTTTTGAATTATTTAGAATAGATATCCCTTTTTGTTTTAAAAAACGTAGACGTCTTTAATATTATTCTAAAGTTCTGCTACTCTTGCACGGGGACACTTCATTTCTCAGCTTAACAAGGTCCAGCAAACTCTTGTTGTGACATTAAAATACAACATGCTGTCTGTATTAAGTAAACAAACAAGCAAACAAACAAAAAAAACCCCACCAAAAAAAAACCCCGCACCACAGACTAGGAAGGGAAACAAAAAATAGGAATAATAGCAGTAACGCACAATGTTCTGGACTTTCTAACAAGAACTGGGCCCCAGCACAGTTTTTTTTTGGCAGAAAAGTGTCTCTGTGTCTGTAGGAATCCCTGGAAGAGCCAGGAGTATCTTGTAGGATAAAGACACAGGGACCTGTCAACAGACTGTAGAGTATAGACACAGCAGGTAAGCAGAGGTCCTAGGAAGCTTGCAGCCACATCTCAACTGCAAAATGGCACCATTTCACATTGAGTTTAAGCCATTGAAAGAAGTCATTCCCAGAGGCTCTTTTCTGCCCACCTGCAACAGCAAACTGGGCTGGGAAAGTGGTGCAGCCAAAACAGAGCCCTTTATTTCATTTGGTGGGATCAGGTTTAACCCATACGAGTTCACCCCATGGCTGCAGAAACACACAGGCTGCCACAGGGAAAACAAGTTTGGGTCAAGCTGTAAGACAATTTCTGGAAGCACCACAGGTTTACATCTGTTCAAACAGACTGTGAAATTACAGACTGGGTAACTTGGTCTTGTGTCATGAACCCATTAATGCCTTTTATATATAGACAAGGCAATGCACAGTACAAAACCCACTGTTATCCCAATGCAAGCCCACAGGCAATGAAGGACATTACACCAGAGTAACTTGCAAACTTTTGTTCAACAGATCTTATGCCTGTTTTAAAGGTGTATAATCTGTTGTATACCTGACATAAAGGTGTATATAGAATTATATATGATACCACCATTACAGAAATACTAAAAGGATATGTTGTTACCACCGCTATATATCTCCTCCATTCAAGTCTTCCCTATGCAAAACTTGCTCAGGAAAAAAAAAATTCTTGCTGACTTTTCATCTTACAGTTAAAATATACTTTTGAAAATAACTAGTTATGCAATACAACTGCTTTCAAACAGGGAAGAAAGTCTGCACTACTGTATTTATTAATTTTCTATCCAGCAGATTGCCCCACTCATGATATATTGACTTACGGCCGTATTCTAATCAGTGTGAGTAAAAAGCTCTCATTCACTGATGGACTGTGTAGCAAACAAGGACAGAATCTGCTTCCAAGATTGGTACATGCATAAAATTTTCCGTTAATTGCAGCATTGCAACTTCCCCAAGACATCATGTTGGGAGAATGTTAAAAAAACCCAAAACCAAACAACAAAACAACCAAAGAAAATACCAACAACACAAAACAAAAAACAACCCCCAAACCCAAAAATCTAAAACTGAGTTTGTCAGCAAAACATTAAACTGCTAGAAATCATTTTAAGAGACTTTTAGGGAATGTTTGTATCTGTATTATTTTGGCATTTCTGCCTGTAAGTTTAAAAGGAAAAAGGACTTGGCAGACGAGCTCAATAACAGACTTTAAGAATAAGACATTGTGGGCTGAGTTAGCATGCTAACAGGAAACTGCTCAGTCTGGATTTAATCAAGAGGCCATCTCTTCACTGACATAACCAGGCTGCCCAAAGGCAAAAGAGTTTTCATGTTTGCTTTTGTGTTGTCTGCTTAGAGGAATACTGTATCTACTGCTATTAAAAGACATTCCTAAAGCTCTTTGCACGTTTTGACAGTGGCACATGGTGATCACTGTTATGTGGTACCAATTAAAGCCACCAGAAGTTTTGCAGTTTTGTGCATCAAAATGATAAAAAAAGGCTCTCCAGCTCCTTCCATTTCTCTCCTTCAACAACATGTCTAATAAAGATACTAGACCCCAACATCTCAGGGCTTCAGTAAGATTTTCTTGGTCCTCTACAAGACTAATAATAAACAAACAGATATTTTAATTTTAATAATTAACAATATTATTAATAGATTAATAATAAACAAACAGGCATTTTATAGTCTGATTTATTTTATGTTTTTTAAACAGTCTCACTTTGATTTTTCAGGCAAGATTATAGCCTTGTAATCTGCAAATGTAACTGATGAGCAAATAGCTTCCTACAAGATAGACAGCATCTTTCAAAAGCAAATGTAGAAAGACTGAACTGAAGTATATTCTTGCAAGTCATTTTTTGAGGTTCTGTGGGTACCAATGTAGTTTAATTCTAACATCTTTACTAATCCTCTGCAATGCTGTACCTTTAGAGGGGCCCACTCTCTTTTAATGCGATCATCTTACAGCTATACAGCACAAAACAGTACCCACATATGCAGTTCTTGCTGAAACAGGAGAGGTCCATGCACACTAAGACACATTGAAGCCAAAAAGTTACTTTAAACACAAACTGACTCCAAAACCAGCTGCAGATGCCCAGTACTGAAGGAGCGATAATTCAGTTCCAAGCTGGTTACAATTAAGGTCCTGACCTTGCCCCGTACAGGCTAGCTCCTGAATCTCACTGACTCACAAAGGCGTTGTGAAAGTGCAAGATAGCCACACACACAATTGCAGGATGAGGAAAAGATATGAGTATCAGCATAATATCCAACAGAAGTCTTCTCTTTGCACCAGCCACCAATACAGGCCTTGAGTACACAGGTCCTCAGTTACAAGCAGCTTGTTACCAGCATAGTTTGTTACTAGGTGTGTAAAAGCAACACTCCTTTATGAATCTGGCTAGACACCATGTGCAACCTTTGATACCACAATCTCCACTTCCC